CCGAGCAATCCTCGGTCTCGATTTTGATGCCGTCAGAAATCCATTTGTCAAGTAGCTTGTTTGCCATCTTCATCTTCTCTTTCGCAACTTTATGATCATTGTAATCAATTTGCCATCGGAGTGTGTTGTTTGTTGTCAATACAACTGCCTGGCCATCATCCGTCTCGTTTTCGTCATCGGTTGTCGGACTTAAACTTTTCTTGATCCGAGTAGACCGACGGGTTTCGGTGTCAAGGACTTTCACAAAGTATTCGTCCTTGTTGGGCTTGGGTGGGACGACTTCTTCGCCCGTGAGAAATTCAAGCACATCATTTGCTCTGGCTGCTCGCTCAAACTCGCGTTTCCAACTGATGAAGTTGGTCTTGCCTTTGAGCCGGCGATCTGGTTTAACTTCATCCATCTTGGATGATGTCGTATCTGGTGCCCGGAATTGGGCGTCTGGGGTCTGGTTTCTGTTGATCACTGATCACTTGTCAATCCAAAGGCTAGTTTTTAGAAGAGAGGCTCATAACCAGTTGAACCATGGATTGAGGTACAAGTGTGATATTGATCTATATTGAGAGATCCAGCTATTTGTAGTTGCAGCAGCTCATCTCCCTGCTGCCTAGCGGAGTGTCTGCCTAACAGGCAGCCACTCCTATAGATCTATATGCATCACGTGACCTGGGATCCAACTTCGGCGAGGGGTCAGGGTAAATGAGTCCACACACACACACACACACACACACACTGAGAGTAAACATAATAGTGATCCTGAGAAATCGAATAAAGCAAGGTCTTACGGTCTTCATTCCTTAGACATGCCCATTCAGATGAGCGTTTCCTCCTCGATTTCTATCAATTTATAACCGTCAGCGCGGGGTTCAGTCCGATTTCAAATACCGCGAAACGCATACGAAGGATTAATTGGCGTATATTAAAATGGCAACCTACTACGCGAATAGAAGGAATTTCTTGCTTTTAATAGCCTAAGCAGGTAATAAAAGCCTGTCTTCTTAACCAATTGAATTTCGAGAGGACTGAGTAAGAATTGGTAGCGTAGTGAGTGGTGGAATAAGGAAGATCTAATTAATTCGTAGTGAATTAAGTTAAGGCTAACAAACAAGGCCTAAAACGTAACGCAAACATTGCCAGCCAGTGGGGCTTCTCTGTAAAGGTATGGTGTGAGGGACTTGGGACATAAACCTGCTATGTGGACTTAACATTTAGTACTGGCAGTTGCAATTTCTAGGAGCTCGCGTAGCTCATAAGCGGGTATTGTAGAGTATCGTGCATAGAAATCCTGATGTCAGCTTTTGCTTTGCCCTAGCCCACGCCATTATATGATTTCAGCTTCGCTCTGGGTCTCGGTTATAGTCATGGCGATAAGCCCATTCACGCCCCACCTGTATACAAACAACTACGATTCGAGGCACTCGAAAATATGGCAAAAAGTGGTGAAACCAGAGAAGTCAAAGTAGAGCGAAAATATTGCATAATACTGTATACTCGCTTCGAGGATTTTGTGTAGAGACTATCCAATACTTCATCAGTGGCACTGTCTACACCTTTATGACCCGTGTTGCTACGCACACATCGTGCAGTTGAGAAGCCCAGGGGAAGAGTTCAGGCTCACTGCTAAGTATGAAAGATAGCTTCTAAGTTATAACGAACTGTTCAGACAACAATATGCTGCGTAGCACCAGATCGTGTTATTGGAGAAAACCCATTACCCGTGTCTCAGAGATAATACATACTTGATTTGGACATCCCGAGTCTTGGCCGTGATACTTCTGCGCACGACCGTGGGGGGATGACGTATTATTCGGGCCGGGCAACTCTTTATCTTGTCGGCGTGTGTATGTGCGTGTGTCTCCGTCTTCCCCAAACTCCACATTCGCGGGGTTAAAGGTAACTTATTTGGTAACTTACATGTACTAGTTACATTTGGGTTTCTCCTGTGACGCCATGGGTGTCCCGGATCTTAGTCCCTGCCCCCTGACTAGCCAATGGTATCACGAATCTGCCAGCGGAATCAGGGAAATGCCTGGCTAGCGCTTACGAGTTGTGTGCCTCTCCCGCTGCCGGACGCCATCCGCTACTCTTATTTCGACGCCTGGTAGTATTTGGTTGGACAAAAGGGTATAGATCTAGGCGGGACATATATTTCTAAGGGCGAGATACAAACCTATCAGGCTTATACATGCATAATCATGTGTTTGTGCCCCCGTAGAGACGCCTGGGACTAAAATACATGCCAAGAGTGTATGGTGTTGCTAACCCAACATGGCAAATCCGACTAGTACTTACAATGTATAGCCTGGTTAACTTAGCCGACTTATTCTATTCCCATAGGTTGAAGTTACCTTCACATGTCCCATAAAAGCTCCGACACTTGCCCAGGAAACCCAAGACTCACTTATTTACTCCCTCCCTCGCCACTAAAGTTCTTGACGAGTCTTATAGCCCTTGTCGCTCCTTAGCTTGTCTTGTCACCTCTTGGCCTATCCTATCACAAATTGGCAACCGGCTTCGTCGCTATGTTAGGCATCCCGAGATATTTCGGCCTCCGCGGCAATGCACTCAACTTGGCGATTAGTTGGATTGCCGGACTTGATTTCCTGTTCGTTACATATTTCACATGTTCAAATCGAAACACAGACATAGCGCAAAACAAGCCACTAACTATCCTATCATCTGTCTTCTAGACTCTTCGGATACGACCAAGGCGTAACAGGCGGCCTACTCGATCTAGAATCTTTCATAAAATACTTCCCAGATATAAACGACAAAGCGGAAGGAATCAGCGAGGCCGAATCAAAAGCACGATCAACATACCAAGGAATAACCGTCGCAGCATACAATCTAGGATGTTTCCTAGGTGCAGTGTTCACAATTTTCGTGGGAAACCCTCTCGGCCGTCGAAAGACGATATTCTACGGCTCTGTCATCATGACTATCGGCGCGCTGTTACAATGCACTTCATATGACCTACCGCAGTTCGTTGTAGGGCGCATTGTTACAGGCTGGGGTAATGGGATGAATACTTCTACTGTTCCGACTTGGCAGTCTGAGACGGCGCAGGCTCATGCGCGTGGTAAATTGGTTATGATTGAGGGGATGTTAATCACGGCTGGGATTATGATCAGTTATTGGATTAACTATGGTGTGTCCATGGGCTCTAAGAACTTTGATTCTTGATTCCAAGATGGCTAATGAGTAACCATTATAGGCATGGCATGGATCGGTGACAATGAAGTCTCATGGCGTTTCCCGCTCGCGTTCCAAATCGTCTTTGCCCTAATTATCTTTTCCACTATTCTTAATCTTCCTGAATCTCCTCGCTGGCTGCTAATGCAAGGCCGGGAAGAAGATGCACTTCAGGTTCTGGAAGCTTTGAACGATAAACATCGCGAAGATCCGTTCATCAAGAATGAATTCGAGTCGGTTAAGCTGACTGTCTTGGAGATGTCCAAGGGCTCTTATGCTAGTCTGTTCAAGATGTCTGAGTACCGCGAGTTCCATAGAGTGGTGCTTGCATATGTCAATCAGATGTTCCAGCAAATCTCTGGTATTAACCTGATTACATACTATGTGCGTCATATATGGCATAGGTTTCTCTTCTCTGTTGATACTGACTGATGCAGGCACCACTTCTATTCCAAGATATTGGTCTTGGTCATAACAACTACCCTAAATTGTTGGCAGCTTGCAACGGGACGGAATACTTCCTAGCATCGCTGGTTCCGATTTTCATTATTGAGAGGATTGGTCGACGCAAGCTGATGCTTTTCGGAGTAAGACGATTTTATTTTTCTTTCACTTTAGTGCTATATCTGTCATACTGGCGTGACTAACGACAAATCTATAATAGGCAGCCGGCATGTCACTTTCCATGGTTGCACTAGCAGTTTCATTGCAACAGTTACAAAAGAGCCAGGCAGAAGGAAAAGGAAATACAGCTGGTCCCGCACAAGCGGTGTTCCTCTTCGTATTCAATAGCTTCTTTGCTATCGGCTGGCTAGGAATGACTTGGCTTTATCCCGCCGAAATTGTGCCACTGAGAATTCGAGCGCCAACGAACGCCTTGTCTACGAGGTGAGTGGAAACAACATTAATCCTGATCTCTCGTATCGCGCAAGGGCTACCTACTAAATATTTTCTGTTTTCAGTGGCAACTGGATCTTCAACTTCATGGTTGTGATGATCACACCTGTGGCATTTGCAAACATCCAGTGGAGGACCTACGTAATCTTCGCCGTTATGTAAGATCTTATCCATCTCGAGCTCCCAATTTGTCTTTCTATTTTTTCTTTCGATGGAATACCAAGCTAACTAATATTCCCAGAAATGCTGCTATTTTCCCGGTAGTATACTTCTTCTACCCAGAGACGCGATATCGATCACTGGAAGAGATGGACGATATCTTCAAGAAATCAAGCAATGTGTTCGATGTCGTGTCGATATCTCTCAACGAGCCACACCGATATGATAAGCACGGTCAGCTTAAGCCGGAGTACATCGACGGTGTTGTGCAGCGAAAGAGTGTACATGATGAGCAGAAAGTCGAGCATTCCGAGGGCTCCTCTTGAGACAATATTTGACTTTTTTTGTTGATTGGTGCTGAATGTAATCTAGGTGACGGGTAATCTGCCGCCTCGAGAAGTGATCGACTCCCGGAGCGACCCTTAAGCGTTGAAAACAAGGAACAAGTTGACAAGCTACTGGGTCCACTGTTTAGAATTGAGCATCACGCAGAGACAAGAATTGTTTTGTTATATTGTCTGACTATAGATATTGATTAATCGGACCCTGTTTTTTATGTGGTGATTCAACTATAGTACCTGCGCTTTGAAATGATGATCCAGGTACAAAAGGCTTGTTCAACGCATTCCGATAAAGACATCCATAGTATTGCGGGGTCATACCCACGTCAACGGACTTGCTCCGAGTGGGGGTTGGTTATAAAGCCTCTTTCTTCCACATTTCTGTCCTTTTCTTATTACCTCACCTGATACATCATGTCCGGCATCCCCAATCTCCCAGTGACATACGATGATCTCCCCGACAAGCGTCGCTTCTGGCCTGGAGCCCCAGGCTCGGCGGAAGAAGGTCTTGGAATGCTCCGAATTCTCACTCCAAAAATAGTCGCACAGGCTGCACAGTCCCAAATTCAGACCGGCGAGCGAGTATGCCTAAACTGGAATATGGAGAATCTAAGCCCACCAGGTAAACAACACTGAGGATAGAACGACGTCCCATAGGAGAGCTCATATTCAACCAATGTAAAACAGGATTCGGCCGCAAACCATTCGAACACCGTGTAAAATGGGTCACAGAGGGCGTTGCATTCGACGACGAGTACCACTTCAACCCACAACAATCATCCCAGTGGGACGGACTGCGACACCACAACGCACCAGCGCCAACACCCGAAAACGAAGACCGACGCGTGTTCTATGGCGGCACAACGGCCGCTGAAATCCAAGATGAGAACTCATCGCGCATTGGAATCGGGCACTGGGCAAAGAAAGGCATAGCCGGTCGCGGCGTGTTAATCGACTACGTCTCATACGCGAAGAAAAAGGGCATCAGTATTAACGCGCTTACACGCCAGATGATCTCGCTGGACGAAGTCCTGGAGATAGCACGCGACAGCAACATCGAGTTTCAGAAGGGGGATATCTTCTTTTTGCGAGTTGGATTGCCGGGGACGTGGGAGGGTATGTCGGGCGAAGAGCGATTGGCATATTCTCAGCAGGGGATGCCACAGCATGCGGGGATTGAGCAAAGTGAGCGGGTCCTGAGGTTCATCTGGGATAATCACTTTGCGGCGGTTGCTTCTGATGCAGTTAGTTTTGAGGTTTTTCCTCCTCTTAACCCTGACTTTGATTTGCATCATCATCTGCTGGCTGGGTGGGGTGTTCCTATTGGAGAGATGTTTGACTTGGAGGAATTGGCTGCGACGTGTGAGCGTTTGGGTCGCTGGAGTTTCTTTATTTCGAGTAGTCCGTTGAATTGCTCTAGGGGGTGTGTCTAGCCCGCCTAATTGTATGGCTATTTTCTAGAGAGTTGGGGGCGTAACTGAGCCATTGGGAATAACAGACTCGAATAGTTACTATATTCGAACCAGGTCGTTGGAGGTCATTAATCTACATTTGTCAAATGTATACCGAAATCCTCATATACTTCTTTACCTAGGTAATGTAGGAATGACCTGTTTTACTTTCCACAAGACGATGGACAGTAGATTGAAAAACAGCAGGCCGAAACAGTAAAGGTCACACAATCGCGTGACCATTACGAGAAGTCTATGGAGACTCAAGACAACAAAGTAGGTGATAGCCCACTGTGACAGTCCCCAGCAATATTATAAGAAAGACTGACAAATACAAGTTAGCTGCGTTCTCCAGCCTTCATTCGTTCCATCCCTTGGGCATTGGGCCACCGGATATGTTGAAGTGCTATGTATCCCCGTCTGAAAATAAAGGTTTCTCCACGGCAGAGAGATCTTGGCCTCGACCCTTGTTAAAGACCCTGTGGTCCATTCTCAAGAAAAATTGGTTGTCAACATTGTGCCTTGGGGATCGACGCATACCAACCGTTTTTGCTCTCACCCCTCAATACTTTCCTCTCAATTGCGCCTATTAAAGTAGGCGCTCTACATTCCACGTACCTTAAATAGTTGTTATTCTGCCCACCAAAAACTATGTTTACCTAAAACAAGGAGCGTCGCGTTCCACCCCTGCTTGGGAGCTACTTAAACGGCGTGGGACGCATTTACTACTCGACTCCCTTGAATGACACGTCTAACGCCTTTCCTAGCCGGAGAATTACTTTCTTTACAAAAGACTCACAATTTTTGACCAACATGCACTTCTCCAAGGTAAACTCAGCAAATACACCATCATATATACATCACTAACAAAGCCTAGACCCTCGCCACCGTGGCCACATTTGCCATGAGCGCCTATGCCGCCATGCCCGTCGCCAGCGTTGATTTCCAATCCTGGGAATCCTGCGACGTCGGCGCCCCGGTTACCGGCCAGCCTAAGTTCGTTGCCCGTGTCACAGCCACCCCATTGACATGCGACAAGACCCCCGTCAACCCTGACTGGAGCATCGACAACTACTCCTTTACCGCTAAGCTCGCCACCAAGGACGCTGCCTACTGCCACGGCGTGATCATCTGGAACAACGACGGCTGCTCTGGCAAGCCCACCACTTTCCTTCCCTTCGACGACAGCCCCTTCGCTGTGGGCAAGTGTCTCCCCGACATTCTGGACCCTGGCTATGTTTCCTTCAAGCTTGCTTGCGACTTCCCTGGCGCCCCGTTCTAGGTTTGATTAAAATCTAGTGATGATGGTCGGGATTGCTGATTGGATTCTATGAAGGTCGTGGATTGGCGATGGATACATACTTTTCCTTTATAGTGTCCTTCTCCCCTTTGTGTTTCTAATTAATATTTAATCCGAAAATTTATCAATGGTATATGGCTGTCCTTTAATTCAAATCAATATCTGACGCCCGCTTCTGCTTCTGCGTTGTGCCACGAACGCGTTGATTCCCGTACACTTCACTTTTAGGTTGGATGATGAGAAGACGATTTGTTCTTAGATGGTCCTTAAAAGAGCTTTTTAGAAGTTTATGCACTGTCCCAACGCTCAATCTGTTACAGACGATCTATAAGCTGACCACGGTTGTACTCAGGTCTTGAATATATATCTCAGCGTTAACCATCTTTTTCGGTTATCCATCCATTTTCCGATTTGAGATTACTAAAGGTCAGGTCGAAGATCTAGTTCGAGAATTGAGATAAGCTAATACCTAAATCAAAGGGGCAAATAAGCAGCCAAATATCTCTTGGCATGAGGTAAAATAGCCCCCAAATAATGCTCTAACAAATTGCCGCAATTGGAACCGTGAAATGTGGTGAACTAGAAAAGTAACCTGGCCGTGCAAACATTTCTCAATTAATTGTCTAGGTGCACACTCGCGTAATTCTCGCACTGGAGGTTTCCGTGTTCAACAATAGCCGCTATGCCTCAGATCGCTGCGTTGGCGCCAGATAAACCAAAAGAGAAAAGGGATTTAAACAAAGGAACGCCTTGCGAAAAGCACCCTAAGATCTGCAAGAATGACTATAAATAAGTACTTAGCCGTATGATACGCCTGTTAAATATCCAGTGCATGTCGAGGCAGTTGGGGGCGGTTCGTGCCGTTTCACGCCTGTGGGGCACAGGGCTGAGCCACCCATGGCCTCCACACCAGTTTCATATTGGCCGATGTTGTTTATATTTGCTTATATCTATTCAAATATACTACATAGTGACTTGAAGCCATATTAGAAGAATAACTCCCAGAAAGTTGCACTAGGGAGTGCCTCAATCCCACTTGAATCACTCTGCGAAAATCCCCTACCAGGAGGAGGTTTGAGTTTGGCCCCCTTATGCGCCTCGGTGAAAGACAATAAAACATTTGCAAACATATCGACATCTAATTGGCCCCAAAATAGCCTGATGCTCCATCTGCAGCAGCTAGCGCAGACCCCCGGCCCCCATGGCCCCAGTCAATAAATGACTATTTTTGAATACTGTAATGAGGCTCTAATATGTACACCGTGGTACTCTTAGGGCTATGCCAGACGGGCTGTGAGCCACGGTAAACAGGGAAAACGGTTGAAGCTATGGTAGTTCTCTTGTAGATAAATTTGCTGCTACACCCCCAAGCTTTTCACCCAGATTCGCTTCCTCTGTACTTCACAAGCTGTTACTCACCTATAATCTTCCAACATGAGATTGGTTACTTCAGTCTGTCGGTTCTTCCAGGTAAGATGAATTGACCTAGGTGTTTTGACTCTGCTAACATTAAAAAGCTCATCTTCACTATCGTCGTCCTCGGCCTCTCAATCACTCTCGCCAAAGGCCAACAACTCGGGTCAGTGCCCTCTGAAACAAGCTATGGCGCTTTCTCCGGAGGTATCGGTGTCCTTGCTGCACTGATTGGTACTGTCGCTATCTTTATTGACTCGTTGGATGGGGTCGTCACCTGGGTCCTCGACGGCGTTTCCGCACTAGCATTGCTTGCTGCCGGTATCGTAAGTCTGGATTATTGAAAAACATCGCACTTAGTGATTGCCACATCAAGGAGTAATAGCTGACGAAATATTCCATCTTAGATCTTCGCCGTTCGCCTTCACGGAACGAGCTGCTCCGACCCCGATACCTTGTTTGGAAATGTGCTGCTCAGCGGCGGCTGTATCACAACCAACGACGGAATATATACTGGCTGTTATTGGGATGAGAAGCACTTGAAGTCTAGGTGTACCTCTGCTACCGCAGATACCGCGTTCATGTTCTTGGGCTTTATCATGTGTATCGGTGTACTGATTGCCTCTTTCATCTTCCGCAACAGGCGCTAGACTGGAGCCATGATTGGGACTTTTATATTGTGTCCTGCCCTATACTGAAGCCCAGCTTTACTTGTGTTGCTACTTCCTTCTTGATGGCCTCACGTTCGAATATACCCCCATATGAGATATAACGATATGACAGCGGTGGATTTTGGTTCAAGTAACAGTCTCTACAAGACCGAATGCCTCCGATTGGAGTGGTTAACCATATAGACTATGTAAATCTTGACAGGCGAAGGTGTGAAGATGTATGGGCCTTTGGCTGTAGACACAACTGATTCCAACCCGTGCTCAGATAGAGATAACCTATGGTAACCGCGTATTAGATAGAATATCAACCGAAGCTTTGGTTTTGAATACTCTTTGTGATGAGCCTTCTTATCTCATTCCTAACTTGTCCTGCAAAGTGTGAAAATAGAGAAGGGATGAGGACCTTTGTCGCCTGCACGAAAATTACAGTATAAAGCATTTTCCAAACCTATCAACCAACTGGTCGCAGGCCGGGCAAATAATCAATGTTGAGTACTGAAAAGGAAAGGCTCATAATATACAGGAGGATGTTGTAGTAGGTAGACATGGCTGAACCAAACAAAAGCAGCAGCCATGAGAAGCAAAGAAAAGTTAAAAAGAGATCATGCACGCTCTATAGTAAATTGCAAAGAAACCTCCCATTTCTGGCCACCAGTGCCATATCCACCACCAAGTCTGTTCCGAATCAAGCTAGAGATCTTCTCACGCAGCCGAGCAAGATTATCCTCAGTTCCAGTAACCCGCAACTTGAGATTGGCCATGCATAGCCCGTAATGGACCTGCCAAAAACGGGCGTCATCGATACCAAATACAGCTGGGTCGGCTTCAATATCCTTGATCACATCGGAGACGCCTTGGCCGGAGTAGGACATCAGAAGCATAGAACCAAGAGTCTTCACCAAGCGCACTCCCATGAAACACATCGAAAATGCGATAGTTCCGGATAAAAGCTTATCGAGCCAATCGTAGATCCGGATCGAGACCAGAGGCAACAACAACAGCAGTGTTGAGCATGAAAGAGTCAAGAAATGAGATGGGTTGCTCAGAACAGAGGGGAGAGACTCAATGTATGCAAAGCGCATAGCCTTCCCAATGCGAGCATGGTTCTTGAGTCCAATTGCCGAGACAAGCGTGGAAGAGATCGCCAAGACGGCAGTGATATCCACACTACCCAGCGAAACACGGTCGTGCTCATGCAAATGATGAGGCTCATGGCCCGCCTTCTCAAGGAAATGCTGCAGATTATGCGAGATAAGGTCCAGCCCCATAAACAGGAGGAGAACGCACATGGCGAACCCAGCCAGGACTTCAGCACGTTCCAGACCGAATGGGTGGCGGATACTTGATCTCTTCCACACTTCAAAATTACCCAACACATCCACTGCAACGCATAACAGAGCTCCGAGTGAATCGAATAGGATTAAGTGTGATAATGCTGTCATGGCTAGGGAACCGTGCGCTGTCCAGAGTGTGTACGCCGCAACGAACATGTGGCAGACACTCCACCAGAACCGGGTCTTTTGGTCTTTTGACATGCTGGCTCGGCATTCTTTAAGAGTTGGCATTGGGAGGGAGTTTGGGAGGGCTAGTGGGGCGCGAGGGGGAGGCTCGAGGAAGATCTGGTGTGAGATGCTACTGTGCTTGTACTTGTGGCCGCGACGTTGTCCAATGTTCTGAAAGAGAATTGATTAGTATCTTCATATTCAGATAGTGGTATTGCGATTGGACTCACCGATTTCACTACTGGGCTCTTGGCCATAACAGTAGTACTGAAATTGAACGGCCCCGCCGCAGTCATGTCGCTGGCGCCATTTTCGATCGGTGACACTGTGTCTTCGGGTGCAGGGCTTAAGTTGAAAGATGATTTCGTAGGGCTTAAACGGTCTTTGCTCCCGATGTCCATCACACCTTTTGGGAATGAGGCATTGAGTGGCGACAGGGAATCGCGATCAATGGGTATCCCTGAGCTGATCTCGGAGGCATGTTGGTCATCCGCTGGCGGGGTGGGGGTGCGCGGGGGAATGGGGAGCGGGAGGTTCGAAGCCATCGCGCTGGCTTTGCGAACACGGTTTCGTTATGTGATAGCTGCTATATACACATGGGAAGGTTGAGACGAGGGTGATGAACCCCCCGGATGATCCCCGGTGTTTCTGTCGATCACATCACGTGATAGATCTAAACATTTAGCGCGTTCCCATATAGACAGGATAATAGTTTGTAATCATAATGGAGATTTGTGATTGTGTTCATTCCAAAGGCTCCCTATCTCGCTCCTTCACAGCCCTACTCTGGGGAGCACTTCGAACCGTCACTTAGAATGTTTCGTCGGCTCAGTCCGCCTACTCTGCTAGTGACTACGTAAGTCACATATGGCGAAAGGCACGAGGGAAAAGATAAACACTAGAGATCCGAAAGCACCCTGGCCAACAGCTTCATAACACATGATCTTGTAGTATGGAAAGTGAGCCTCACTGTCAAAAACCTCAAAGAAAGGTTGAAAACCGTGGACGGAACTGGCAATATAGCCTTCAACGCAGAGAAGAACCAACCCAGGGCAAATTGGACGCAGCCGAAGTGATCCAGCACGTGGTCCTTCTTTAGATCCTGCTACACCGTATCAGTGAAATTGAGAACACGTCCTTACTCAACATGGAATGGGTTTTTCGTATACTCAAGCTCTGAGTTGGGGCCTTCGACCTATGGCGATATCTAAGAGGAAGTACCGCTAAGCTGTTATTTTTTGTCTAAGAGATGATCTACTGGGAAGGCAGACTAACAAAAGCGATCTCTCTGGATGATGCTAAAGAAAAGAAAAAACCAAGAAAAATATCCCAAGCTCAGGGAGAAAGCAACGAGAGTCAGGTGTTTGACTTGCTCAGTCATAATTTACGAGATTACTTACAAGACTAAGTAATTTTGTGTGCAAAGACAAAAATGACTCAGTATGTAGAGAATTTGGTTGACAGCCTGAATGGACTAAGGGACAGGTACTATGTTCTAACCTTTGGCCCGCATGACAGACCAAAAGCTGCAGTTGCTAGCTATCATTGCTCATATACCGAGAAGTGCCCCCTTAACCTCCTCACCGTCCAACTGTATCTTGAGCAGTTTGTTCTCATTGCAAGCATACATAGCGCCCTTTTCCCCGAAACAAAAGTTAGAAACCCCACCGGATATATTAATAGTGCCAATCAACACACCACTAGGGTGCCAGACCTCGATGCCGTCAGTACAACCAGCATAGACATTGCCATGGGTATCGCATTTGATTCCGTCCGGTACTTTTCCAGGGGCATAAGCGAAAACCCGGCGATTTGCCAAGAATGGTTCAGAGCAGCCCTTTTTAACGACAACATCGAATGCATAGATGTGTGAAGGACCGGTCTGGTGCAGCGGCACTGATGCCGAGCCGTGGATTGCACCTGTATCTGTCACGTACAGAGTGTCGAGTTCCGGTGAAAAACATAAGCCATTAGGTCGAGCAAACCCGTCTGCAACAGCTCGGACAGATCCCTTCCTAGGATCGTAGCGGTATACGTGGTTTGGCAACTGCGGCGGAGGTCGAATGCCCTGATGAAAGCCATATGGAGGGTCTGTAAACCAAATAGACCGGTCATGGGGATGGACGATCACGTCGTTGACAGAATTGAACGGGATTCCATGGAAGGAATCGATCACAGTTTCAAAGACTGTATCGCCACTGGCAACGGATGGAACCGCAAGTTTGATAATCCCCGACGGATCTTTCGGGTCCCTTGAGCCCTGTGCGCAAAGAAGGATGTTTTCTGAGTCAAAATTGACACCACCGTTTAGCATCGCACCAGTGATAGTTGGGAATGTGATATTCTCAACTTCGGTCACGTGTGGTCCAATGGCGAGATTCGGCTCAGAATCGTAGACTCTGGTGAGCTTGACAATCTTGTTGGCAGTTGCTGGGTTCGCTTGGTCGGAAGAAGTGGCCAACTGATTTGAAGTCACGAAGACGCTGCGTGAGGGTGCATGGTAAATGCACGCTTCATGGTAAAGAGGTAAATCACCTCCATCCGCCAGAATGGAAACCTGAGGGTTGGCACCTAAAATCTTGTCGAAATTTGAGGCTTGATGTTTATGAAAGTTGACTTGGATGTTGGCCATAGCGAACAATCTTTGCGATGATTCAGAGTACTCTCAATGTTTTGCACTAAAATTATTGAAATCGTTCCTCTCATGTATGCAGAAATTCAACACCGTAATCATTATTATGACCCAAGCGGCTATGCATATGCTTGGCTAACTCTAGGGAAAAAAAGAAAAGCCCTCGAGTTGGGCTAAACTCAAATCCATAAGCATTAGCCGTTTGTTTGGAACAACTCAATTGCCGACATACATTATCCATCCAAATCGGTAACCGATAGGCAATATAATATAATGTGTCAACTGACCCCGCATCTTAGTCCTGGCAGTGATACGTGCGTGAAGCTTATCTCCTAAATTCATCCATAGACTTAAAAAAAGCTTGATTTATAGCCCTAGGTGCGACGAACTACCTGATCTCTCGATCTCTCCGCATAAGTGACCTTTTCAGAGCAGTTGGCAGGATAAATGCATAGCGATTTAGAATCTATCGGTAAAAGCTCTGATGTTCTCAGGGGTTGCTCAGCCCATCTTAACAATACCATGGCATTTTGCTGCTTCGGCAATTGCGGGTCATTGGTGCGAAGTTAGTTTGATGGCTTGATGCCCCAGACTTTACCACCATTGTGGCTCGTCTGCCACACTCCAGATCCGAACGTCTGCAAAGTTGGTTTTCTGCCACATAACTTGTCGGTGGAAACAATATTGCCGAAGGGAACCTTGAACTATGGTCTAAGCAAAGTTTGACGCCACCCCCCGATATTGCTGGCCTTCGAAATGAGTCTAGAACACCCAAAGAAGCACGCGCTCAATTTTTTTTTTTTTTTTTTTTTGTACTTCCTTTTGTATTCAACGCATTGCTGGCA